ATAGCATATTGCTCAATTCTGTAGACGATGGCTCCGCACGCCTCTCAAAAAAGAGGTCAGAAAGAGCCGAATGTCCACGACCAATTATCCCCGATAAGGTCGCACTCACGCCAGAATTTGACCCTATATTGGTCACATTTCTAAATAGGTCTTGCAACTAACCTCACAAGGGCATTGAGCAAGGCTTAAAGGCCGTACAGGATAGACTGCTAGATATTGCAGGACCACTTATACAGATATGTATTCTGGTGGAAGAGGCACGAACAGACAATTCCTTTAATCTGTGCATGGTGTGCGAATGGGCACAGAGGGCCCTCTGCCTTTTAGGCAATGCCAATGTGGCTTTAGCTATTGAATGCCGCAAAGCTGTTCTCTATAAAATAGATGCTAAGATGGCAGAATTGGGCTCCAGGGAACTGGCCCAGAGGCCACAAGTTTATTCGGTGACAAGTTTATCAGGGATCTGAATAAATATATATTTATTTTTAACTCACTCACTAAGGCCCAATCCTCATTCGGCAGAGTATTACGCTCCCAACGTTTATATGCGGGAGCCAGTCGCCATAGAGGCCGAGCCACCAGCAGACAGGCCTTCACTGGCTTCAGGCCTCGCCCCGCTGAATAATGGAACTCAATATCGACCCTATTAGAGACAACTGTTCCCTGGCAGAGGTCCCATCAGAGGACGCGGGTCTGCTTCTCTCTGCGGATGCACTGCTTCAGGTAATACACTTTCCTTATTTCCATATACCTATCGCAGGAACCCATTTTTTCCCTCAGTGGTCTCAAATGACTCTGGATCCCTGGATCCTTCAAACTGTATCTGGTTTTCAAATAGACTTTGTGTCATCACCCTTCCAGGAAAGACTCCCCATACCTCTACAAATGTCTCAAGCCGACGAGGCGTCTCTGCATGCCGAACTTTGCAAACTCAGAGACAAAGGGGCCATCGAACTTTCAACCCGTTCCCCAATATTCATCAGCAATGTTTTATTGGTCAAGAAAAAAAACAGAATTGCGACTCCAAACTCCTTTCAAACTTGACAAAAAGAACTTTAACAATTTTGTCTGAACAGAAACATCACACTTTGGACGGAATACCTACTAGGCCAGGAAAATCTGGTAGCAGACTGGTTCTCTCGCCACTGGAGGGATACAAGTGATTGGCAATTGAACCCAGATATCTTCCATCTTCTTCATCAAATTCGTGGTCCTTACCACTTGGGCCTCTTTGCTTCCCTATTGAATCACCAGACAGAGGAGTTTTTCAGCTGGCTTCCAGAGCTAGCATGTCAGGCCGTCTCCTCCTTTTCTCTCATTCCTCGGATCCTGCAGAAACTCAGAGTTCTTGGTGTGACAGTACTACTAATCACCACTCAGTGGAGAGCACAACCCTGGTATCCCAACCTCTTGGAGTTGTCAGTGGATTATCCCCTGCTCCTTCCTCAATCTCCAGATCTCCTCCAAGGCCCGACAGGAGAATTCCATCCCCTGGTCATTCAGGAACCTGGAATTCTCTGGACTGTTTCAGGGGAACTTGGTGCATGTCAAGATTTTAGAATACTGCTAGAGGATTATTATGGGATTCATGGGCTCCTGGGAACTCAACGTTCCTACCTCTCCACTTGGCAAGTCTGGAATAACTGGTGTGTGGAAAGGGATATTGATCCCTTTTCAGCACCTGTAGTTTCCGTTATTAATTTCCTATTTTCACTCTTTGACCAAGGCAAGTCTTACAGAACTATTAACCTTTCTCGCTCTGCTATTTCCGCAGCTCACTGTCCTGTTGACAAATCTACCGTGGGTAGACACCCATCGGTCTGCAGACTCTTACATGGTATCAGACTGGCCAGACCCACTACCCTTCGATATCCACAATTTTGGGATGTCTTAATAGTTTTTTTCCTTTTTGGAAGCTTGGTCTTTTTGGAATGCTGACCTCTCCTTGAAACAACTTTCTGCAAAACTAGCTTTGCTACTATGTCTGGTCTCTTTCCGTAGAGTTTCTAACGTCAGATCTTTTGACTTTCACACTATTGCCTTCTCTCCCGAAGGCGTTCGCTTTTTCTTTTCCCGTAGAATTAAGACTCTTTCATCCTCTGTTTTTTATCCATATTTTCCAGATAGGCCCTCTCTCTGTGTGGCTCGTTGCTTACAGCAATATACTTCTCTTACTACCCCACTTCCTGCTCCAACAGGTCCCCTCTTAGTTTAATATGTTCGACTCCACAAGCCTGTGTCCTGTCCCACAATTGCTCGTTGGATCAAATACCTTCTCCACCTTGATGGAATCGATACCTACTGACATTCAAGGATGTTTGACATTACTGCATAATAACCTATTTTAGTTGCATTATACTTCTTTGCAACTGTTATTTTATGCCATACTTTTACAAGTTTCTCAGTTTTTTTCTAGTGTGAAACATCGCTTACTACTTCTGGACATCTTTGGATTACAAAGCTACAACCCTGTTTACATGGTTGAGGACACTGTTTTTCTCTGTTTACCTGATTGACTTGTCATTGCGTTTAAATGGTTGACTTCTACTGGTGCAGCTGCATCAAGAAAGAGGAAGTGGGAGGAGCTTATCAACCTTTTGTGATTGATATTTGTATTGTGATTGGTTGTTTTTTTACTCATTTTGATAACCATTTCTTTGCTGCTGGGAGGTTTGAGTAAAGAAACTAAAGAAAATATTTGCCTCCTGTCGTTAATAAAATTTAGATTATTCGGTCATTAACACTAGAATAATCCCTAATTATCAATGAACCACTGCTTAATTGACCTAGAAAAAGTTTGATGGTGATGCACATACATTTAAAACGGAAAATCATGTTCTGCACTCATTGAATATTAAAGGGTTACTACAATGATGTTGACCACTTCTACTTTTTGAAGCATTCATTGTGGTAGGAGTCTGAATGTGCAGTATTTCAGTTTGATGGTTAATTATAGTTAATTGCATGCCGGGGGCTAGTTGCACCGCAGCACCTGTGAGTTAGGCAGCCCAGAACTTTAGGACCACCTGATGTTAATTCTGTGCATATAAAATGTCTGTCATTGGTGTGCACTACATACTACCGACAGATGTAAAAATCTTACCCCTTGCAGGTAGAGCATTTGCCAATGGAAGATTGCATCCCTCTTTCTTGCTCCAACCCTTCTTAATTGTAGCCCTCTCTCTTTCCTATCTGGTATTTTTTGTTTTGCATGCCCTTCCTCCTTTTTCTTTACCTCCCTCTCCCCTTGCTGGCTTAGCGTGCACGTATGCTCTTTGAGCTGGTTAAATAGTCTAATCAAAAGCTTCTCTAATGGACCTTAATGATTAATACCCAACAATACAATATAAATAAGGAGATATGCAAGACAAGTGTGCAAAAGGTGCACACAGATCAGTGCCATTTATCAAATCTCTGTAAGTTTTTTTTCTTTTACAATAAAACATACTTAACTATGCACCAGTGATGATCTTTATGCCGAAGAGAAACAAAAAAAATTCTCAGCCAGGTTTTAAGTACATCATGAAAACCTATGGGAGGACCTAATTGGCCTAGAGCTTTTCAGACATTCTCTCGACAGATTAGCACACACTGCAACATCTACTAATGCAGGATTTGCAATTCAATACAGTTTGCAGACTGCCGAGTTACTGTAGAATTCTACAATATGTTAGTTTAGACTTGAAAGTTCTGCCCAGCAACATGCAAAATTAATGTGCTCCTGGAGAGTCCAGTTGATAACCATAACATTTGTGTAGTGTTATGCTTTCAACTCACATAACTATTAGACATCCAGCCACTTACTGAGAGTGTTAGGAGTTGAACTTAGTTAAAGCAATCGGCTTGTTTCTGGTTTATTGCTAGCATTTGTTAAACCTTAATAAATATGGCTTTTTAGTAATTAACAGAAAAAGTTTTAATCCAGACTTTGCAGAAACCAAGCTAAATCGTTGATTTCAGACAAATTCTAATTAAAGTTCTTCTTTCAAATGCAACATTGATCTTCCCATTTTGTGAGCCGAGAGACAAGAAAGATAAATAGATGTCGTTATAGCCATTCTCATTTTAAAGATGAATGGCACCGGAGTGAATATTAACGTATTTCATTATCTTTATCTTTTTTTTTTTTTTTTTTTTTTACTAGATCTGAATCTTTTGTCCTTTTAAAGTCAGAAAAAAAAGACATACCACTTTTTATTAAATAGTGAAAAATTTGATTGTCAATACAAGGTCTGTTCTGATGGAGTTATCTGCAACTTGTTTTTGCAAATATCAGAAAGATAAGGATGTTGATATTTGTATGGATTTATGAGAAAGCAAATATGCACATAAAACCATGAGACAGTAAAATATTGAATTAGAAATTATATAAATCAGAGGCTTGCATTTTGAAAAGATGTGTTCTACACTGTAACATTGGGTGTCTGTGAGTTTAAACCTAACTCCCGGGAGGACAGATGTTCCACAGTAGTCCTGGTGGTGTTTTAGAAGTGTAGAGAGGTCTGTGAAATAAGGAACGCTGAGGGGGTGGAAGCCAGCCACTGAAAGAAGCAGTCGCACGTGCTAGGCGCTCCCGAGAGAGATTTGACTTCTCAGCCTAATTGCTATTAAAACGATTTTGATTTCCCTGCAAACTACATTACCATTATGGGAAAGAAATACAAACTCAGCAGGAACTAAGTGATTCCCACCTCTAAAGATATCGGCGCCCTGCTCCGTGTTACACCTTTGCAGAGGACTACTAAGATGGCGCCCGCATGGGAAGACTTTGACCTCGCTTTGGAGGACAGCAACCACAATGACTCCAGCTATTACGCTGACCTAGCGGAGACCACTAAGAGTTCATCTCTCCCTGCCTGGGACCCAAAGCCCACAAGGGCAAATTCTGAGACCCGTCCAGACCACATTCCCGCCAGTAAAACGGATATTTGAAACATGTTGGCAAAGATGAAGGCCTATTTCTCGGCTGATATAGTGCTGGTCGGGAAGATATGGGAGTCATGACAGCTCGCAGTCGCTTGCGGGCACTGGAGGAGCATGATGTTGCCACGAAAAGCAAACAGGAGACTCTGAAAGCTGAGGTGGAAACGCTGAAGCAGGCCAACCTTACTATGAAAGGAAGGCTTGCTTCGCTGGTAGACGCTAGACGGCAACGTAATATGCGGGTCCGTGGCAACCCAGAGAACATCGGGGAGGACGAAGTACCTCACTACCTCTACAGAATGTAGAGCTCTATGCTACCCCCAGCTAAAGCCAAGACTATACACCTGGACTACCAGTACCGAGTCCCGAAATCACCTAAAGCCCCGGCTGGGATTCCAAGAGACTTATTATTTTGCTTTCAATTGCTCCAGTGTACCGTTTTGAAGGCTCAGACCTGGCCTTCTTCTTAGCAGATCTCTTCAGGTCCACAATGATCTGGAGGCACTCCCTGCAACTGGTGACTAAGCTGTTGAGAGAGAGGGATGTTGACCATACCGCAAATTGACCATACCACACGCGGAGAAGAGATTGCAGCTAAGACACCTCTTAGAAGCTGAACGCCTCTTCAGGGAACTGGACTTACGTGCACCAGATACCACCCAGAGGTCAGTGGCAAAAACCTCATGGGCTTCCTCTGCTCCAGCATGGCACATTAATACCATCCAGCCCCTCTACCACAAGCCGAAACGGGTGGCAGAGATGCAGATGTTTTCGGGCACTTGAATACTGCAAGACGTTAAGGCGTAGTGAGCAGAAAACTTCTCATTGTGTTTTGTTTTAGACTCTAATGACAATTTTGAGCTAGGTTCCTAAATTTTGTGTAATGTTTGTTGTGAGTTCTCTTTTTTATTTTTCTGATCTTTTTGCTGACTTAAGCCAGACGAGACGACCTTATTCCCATTGGAAGCCGCGGCACACATCCGCCCAGCTAGCCATTTTGCCATAGCATTATTGTTTAAGTAAGATTTCCCTTGTAACATGCATATGCCTATTATTTTAATATGTTTTTTGTTTTTTTGCCTCTACGTTTGATTGCACTGATGATAATCACCAGGCAACTGGTGCTTACCAAGTCTTAGTATTAGGCTGTTTCGTACTGTTCTTGTAAGCACTCTCTCAAGAATCCAATACCCTCCCGAAGGAAACGATTATAGTTCAATAGCTATAGCTAATATATATTAATAAGTGCAAGTAGCCTTTCATCGAGTTCAGCCAGACAGGAAACCTATATATTAATGTACAAGTTACAAACTTTCTAAAAAAAAGCACTTTAAAAATGTAGCTCACTATGCTTTATCTTTCTGTATAATTATATGTATGCTACAATAAAAAATACAAATAAATAAATTTTAAAAAAACAGGAAAACTGACTCCCTTTTCCATGTTGCTTTTTAACGGGAGCTGAACAAGCTTTAAATTCAAAGGCACACTACAACTTCTGTGAATATTAAGTAATCAACCAAGATACTGCCTTTAGAAGAGGGGTCGACAACAATCAGCACTCCACACAAAGCATCAAGGGAGATGTATTCCAAAGCATCTGGAGTGCAGAAGGTTGCCCTTGCGTTCTTTAGAACATGTAGATTGAAATGTCATGCATCATTACAATAAAGATGTGATGGGGAGCAGTTAAAAAAGCACTGTATCATACATACCTCCCAACACCGGTGCCCTGCGAATGTGGAAAGCAGTAGGAAAGGGTAAATACGGCGGCCAGTGATTTGACTGTATCACTGGTGATGACCAAAAGTACAGGCGAAGGATTGGCAGGTCAGCCTGGTGTGAATGCATGCCAGGTTACCTGTCAATTATCCAGGCCACCCCGCTAAGGTCAGACTATCCATGAAGCACTGTTTCTGTGTTCTCGGCAAGGTCCTAGTGCCCTGAGTATTGCGCAGGCACATCTAATAATGCTCACACACTATACTTTTTGGGGACAGTTCTCTGGTGTCCCCATAAGTGGGTCAATAGGGAGGGACAGGAACCAAAAATTGGGACTGTCCCACCTAAGTCGGGTATGTTGGGAGGCCTGCCCATTACAGCAAGGCTTGAATGATGCCTTTCCTCATTATGCACTGTAGTATAGAACATGGAGTACAGAGCTATGTGGACACAAGCAGAACTGTAGAGTGTGAGCAAACAGCATTCAGACAGGAGTTACAGAACACACTGGAGTACACTACACTCTATGAACCACCGTTACAGGTTCATCACTGGAAGGAAACTCAACTTATCAAAATCACATTTTAATGTTCTGTCAAAGAATACCTACTACATCTGAATGTTGTCTGTAAACGAAATTTAAAGGAACACTCAATGAAGTCATTATAGGGTCTGGAGTTCCTGAGCACTGTCCTACCTTATATAAATGGTTTAATCACAAAGTTCTATAGGCGGCACCCTTCTGCTCGAACACTCTTCTTCAGGTGTGTTTGAGGCTTCAGTGAGGAAGTGTTGGACTGGGCACCAGTGATCAGGGGAGATAATTAGCTGATGCTCTCACTGATGCTTCCCATGCAGAAAACTGTGTGATAAAGGTACACTGACTTTATTTTGTTAGTAGTAAGTCACCTAAAATTTCTGCCCCTGGCCACACCCCTAGTCAAACTCCTAAAATTAAAGTGTTTCTCTTTCCATTTCTCTTTCCATTTGAAATGTTGAGAGATTTGGTAAAGTGAGAAATTAAAAAGAATTTCAGAGTAGCAGAAGTTAAAGCATAGATGAAAATTTTGACCTTAAATTTGAAATTCACATTGAATTCACTTTGAGGTCTCACTTTGGTAAATAAACATGTGTGTGAAACCCACAACATGTCAGGCAGTCTGTTTTTTGACTACTCCTGTGATGCTTTGGTTCAATAAAGTATTTTCCGTGTGATTTCCCAGCAATTCTCACTTTAGCGAATAACCCTATATAAATTGCATAATAAATTAACCCCTTAAAGGACCACATTAGGCACCCAGACCACTTCAGCTCAATGAAGTGGTCTGGGTGCCAGGTCCATCTAGGGTTTACCCTGCCTGCTGTAAACATAGCAGTTTCAGAGAAACGGCTATGTTTACAATAGGGTTAATTCAGCCTCTAGTGGCTGTCTCATTGACAGCCGCTAGAGGCGCTTCTCACTGTGATTTTCACAGTGAGAAGACACTTGTGTCCATAGGAAAGCATTTCTCAATGCTCTTGCCGCGCATTCAGCTGATGACGTCGGAAGCAGGAGGAGAGTCCCCAGCGCCGAGGGAGCCCGGCGCTGGAGAAAGGTAAGATTCGAACCCCTTCCTCCCACTTCAGCCCAGCGGGAGGGGGGCCATGAGGGTGGGGGGACCTATTAACACTATAGAAAACAAACAAGTTTGTTTTCCTGGCACTATAGTGGTCCTTTAATGACCTTGGATGTACTAAGTACGTCTAACAAAAAACGGCTGTTAAAATATGAGCGCTACACTTACATGGAGAGGCGATCCGCAGCGATCACGTTCGGGTGGGGACTGTTTGAGACCTCACCATGATCACATCGCCGCAATAGGAGTCTAGGAGCTGCCAGCAGGAGGACTGTCTAAGCTGTCAGGCAGTCCCCCAGGCTGCTAAAAAGTAAAGAAAGAAACAATAATAATCAAATATATATAGTACATATATTATATATGTATAATATATTATAAAATAATTAAAGCATTTTACAATGTATTATACATATATAATGCATATATATGATTTCATTATAAGTGTATTTTGAGATATATGTGTGTATATATATATATATATATATATACACATACATACACACACATACACACATATTATATACACACATATTATGTGTCTATATATATATACACACTTTTTTATATCCTATATATGTATAATATATTATAATTAAAACATTTTATAATATCTTATACATATATAATGCATATATATGATTTCACTATAAGTGTATTTTGAGGTATATGTGTGTGTATATATATATATATTTGTGGTCATGGCATAAGCTGTAGTATTATTGACATAAGACAAACATAGAATGGAAAGGTCAGTTGTGGAGTGCCGGAACTGACGAGGAAGTAGGCCTGAAATAAAAGAGGGCCTACCTTATAGAATGCTTATAAAAGCGGTGTGGTGTGTGGGACAATTCGTCAGACCTAACAGGTAATGAGGGAAGGGTTGGTGCTCCTTAAGAAGGGGAACCAAGCCCCTCCCACAACTTCAGGCCACGCCTTCCATTTGTGGTCATGGCATAAGCCGTAGTATTATTGACATAAGACAAACATAGAATGGAAATGTCAGTTGTGGAGTGCCGGAACTGACGAGGAAGTAGGCCTGAAATAACAGAGGGCAAAAAGATATAACCATTTATTTGTTCTATAACCCAACAATACACATTACATATTCATGGTTTTGAATGCCAGGTGTACTTCTTGTACAGGCTGAGGGATGTAGCGGGTGTATGATGTGGATTTCCATCGGCCTAATATCTTGATAATGTGAGCTGGTATATTCTTTTTTGAAGCGGTAGTTGCGGCTCCTATGCGGAAAGAGTGTCCAGAATAGCTGGCTGGGTTCAAACCTAACCGGATCAACAACATCCTAACATACATCATGAATTTGCTCGTAGTGAGTACATTACCGTGCAAGGATAGGAGTGCTTGTGTCGGAGTCATATTACAGAAAGCCAGAAGAGTGTTGAAAACTTCCACCGGACACCAGGTATTACTAGTGGGGTAATAGGGTATAATGACTGTCTGACCTTTGGCGCTAGTTTTGGTATGGTGTAGGGATAGTTGATAGTGATCATGAACCTTTACCAGATCGGATCTTGTGATGAAGGTGGGCGAGTTAACGCTAGTGGTGGTGAATTCTCTGGGCCGCAGAAAACCGTAAAACGCCAGATAGATAGCTGTTTTTATAACACAATTGGTATGGCCTTCGAATGGTGAGGTGTCTAGTAGATTTGATAGTGCCTGGAATAATATATATATATATGTCTATATATATATATATATATAACCACACATATTTTATATAGATATAGTGTAGATTGGATTAGCCATATTAGTCCAGTAGACAAGATGCTATAATAGGTTTGAAGAGAGGAAAACTCTCAAAAGCTTGTCTTTGAAATATTATATTAGTCCAATAAAAAAGCTATCATTGCATACTGCAATACTCTGGTAAATAAAAAAAAAAACATTTACTTATAAATATATATGTATATGTGTGTAATATATTATAAAATGTTTTAATTATAATA